GGGTTATCCTGAAGGCCTCTTGGGGAGTCTTTGGGGCCTCTTGGGCCGTCTTTGGGGCCTCTTGGGTCGTCTTGAGGCCGTCTTGCGCTGCCGTGAGGCTCTCCTGGGGAACTTGGGCCCTCTTGGGGAGCTCCCATGGCCCTCGTGGATCTCTCTGGGGAGCCTTTGGGGGGCTCATAAGCTTCTTGCGGGCCGTCTTGGGGCAGTTTTGCGCCCTCTTGTGGGCCTCTTGGGCCGCTGTGGGGCGATCTCGCAGGCTTCTAGGTCCGTCTTGGACGCTGCCACGACAAGAAAAGCGAATCTGCTAAACGTGCGCGTTTCCCTAGGGGTTTGGAGAATTTTTGCCTCTTGGGAGCTCTCCTGAAGGCCTCTTGGGGCGTCTTTGGGGCCTCCTGGGCTGTCTTCGGGGCCTTTTGGGCCGTCCTGAGGCCGTCTTGCGCTGCCGCGGGGCTCTGCTGCGCCTCTCCGACAACTTCTCCGATCGCCTTGAGCTTGCTGACGGGGCTGGGCTAGGCGCACTGGGAGGCGCGGCGGAGCTGGGGGGCCTCTTCCAAGGGCGCCGAAGGGGGGCACAAAGCTCCAGATCGAGGGAGTCTGGTTTTCGCGCGGGCTTCCCAGCAGCCCAGGGGGTCCGAAATTCGTTCGGGGGGAAGGGCCCTGTCCGGGGCCCCCTGCCGCGCACACGCGCACACACGCACACACACACACACACACACACGCACCACGCATATATATATATATATATATATATATACAAGACTGCATTGGCGCTGCGCGCCATGCACCTTGGTCCTTTAGAGTTTCGCACGTTAGCGGAGTGCGTGCGTGCGTACATGCGCACACACATGCGCCCAAGGGACATACTACATATGCGCATATAAATATACGAATGTATGGGTCTGTGGAACTATGTGTGCGCATACACATACGCATCTCAGGCGGTAGTGCCCCCCAGGAGCCCGCGACACCCCGAAGACGGCCCAAATGAGGTCTATGAGGGCTCCTCCGCTCCCTCCTCCTCATCATCATCGTCACCACCGTTTGCGGCCTCTTCCTCGTTCTCGTCCTCATCATCCTCCTCATCCTCCGCCTCATTCTCATCAGCCTCATCATCATCAGCGCCAGCATCAGCATCATCATCACCACCACCGCCACCATCGTCATCATCGTCACCACGATCAACATTAGCAGCACCATCTTCATCAACATCGTCGTCATCGTCATCATCAGCATCATCATCCTCAGCATAATCACCCACATCCCGTACACATTAACCTCATTAGCAGCAGCGTCGTCGTCGTCGTCATAGCATCGTCGTCATCATTACCACCACCATCGCCAGAATGAGCATGGCTACAATCACCATGATCATGCAAATGGCTCTCGTTCGCCACCCTATCCATCCTCGTCCGATCCTCGCCATCGTCATCGCAGTCATCGTCATAGTCCAACCGTCGTCATCGTCAACGTAAACATCATTATCATCCTCCTCCTTATCATCGGTTCGAACAACTACCGCCGAGAATGCGGGGCTGGCACGGCGGCGGGACTTGGGAAGAGGCTGGGATGAGGAGTAGAGAGTATACAAAGAAGGAAGAGGAACAGGAGGATAACGGGAAAGAGAAGGAGGGAGACGGAGAAAAGAAGGATGGAGGAAAAGAAATATTGGAAGGCTTCTGGGGGTGCCATTGAAGCTCAGTGTTGGGAGCCCTGGTGTTATGTAGCGTTTCGGGGTCTCTTGGGAGTCTTCTTGGGGCCCTTTTGGATCCCTTTTAGGGCCCTGTTGGGGTTCTCTTGGGTCGTCTCGGGGCCCTTTTGGGCCGTCTTGGGGCGTCTTGGAGGCCTTTGGCCGTCGTGGGGCTCTTCTGGCGGCGTCTTGGGGCCCTCTTGGGTGCCTCTCTGGGCGCTCTTGGGGTTCTCTTGGGCCCGTCTTGGAGCCCTCTTCGGCTGTCTTGGAACTCTCTTGGATCGTTTTCGGGCTCTTTGGGGGGCCCCTTGGGCTATCTTGGGGCGATCTTTGGAGCCTCTTGGGCCGGTTCGGGCTGATGTTGGCCCGAAAAAGGAAGAACCAGGAAAACCTCTGAAAACCATACAAAAATCAATCACATCTCCCTCTGGGGACCTTGTTGGGAAGCCTCTTGGAGGCCTCTTGGGGCGTCTCGGGGCCCCCTTGGACGGTCTTGGGCGGTCTTGGGGTCTTTTGGAGCGCTCTTGGGCTGTCTGGGAGCGCTCGTGGACCCCTCTTGGGAGTATCTCGGGCCAGCTGAGGGTTGCAGGCAGGACACGCTGGGTGCCGCCCCAGAGCGCGATGCCTGTGCCAACCCGCGGGCTAGCTCCTGAAGCGCGAGCTGGGCGGAGCGTTGCATCACCGAGAAACTTGAGCAAGCGGACGGCGACGGAATCCGACCTGCCCCAGACAACCACGCGCAAACACTGACAATACATACATGTGCGCATGTAGGTGAATGCTTGTGTATCTATACATAAAGAACACCGCGTCGGTGTTGTGCTGTTTTCAGACTCTGGGCCCCACACCGGGCCCTGGACCGTCAACAAACGACGCGAACATGCCCTGGGGAAAGGATCTAGACCTCTGGGGGTCGACGCTGTGAAACCATCAAGACGTCGGAGTTCTGGGCACGGCTGGTTCGAGGCGTGACGACCTCGGCGGTGGTTTCTGCCACCGCGTGGGTCGCTCGACTTTGAGCGCTCGGCGTCTCTTCGATCGCCAGATCTTTCAACATTGGCCGATTCTGGGCCACCGGCGGCGTTCAACCTTGAACGCCCGCGGCAGGGCCGCTGCCGCGTCGGCACGACACGAACCTACGGTACGTCCTGGGGCCGAGGATGGCCCTGGGCAGGCATCGCGGTGGTGTACAGGTGCCTTCTGAGGATCCTGGCAGCCTTGGCCTTCGGGTCCTCCTCCTCCTCTCGGGCAGTGCCAAGAGGGGGTTATCGCTTTTGGGGAGGGGGGGTGGTCGCCACCTCCGCCTGGGGGCCGAGGACCTATCAACTTTCTGGAGACGCCTTAGGACGTTTGTGGGGGGAGGGGCTCCTGGGGGAGGGAGGCGGAGAGGGGGGGGCCTGAGTGGTCCTGGCGGAGGGGGAGCTCCTGGGGGTCCTCTTATCCCCCGCCTCTTCGGGAGGAGGTGGCGACCCACCCCCTGCAGAGGTGAGCCCAGTTGGAACTGACTGTGGGGGAGCGACAAACAGATAACCGCTGCTCCACAGACCTCTCGCGGGGCGCCTCCCGACCAGGACTCCGAGGCGAGTCCGGCCGTGGCGACGAGGGCCGCCACAAGAGGCCCCGAAGGGCGAAAACGATGGGAGGGCATCGGCATCGGCGCGTCTTTCTTGGTAAGGCTCGGTGTTGCGCACATAATGCCCCCCCCCCGAGGCAGTCTCGCCTGGCCTCAACTTGGGCGTCGCTTCCTGGGGGGGGCTATACATGGGGGGGGGGAGGGGGGGGGGAAGGAGGGTGCACTTCTTGGGCCCTGGAGGCCCCCCTGAGGGGGCCCCGAAGGGCCCGTTTGGGGGCCCTACGGGGCTCCGGTTCTGCAGCCCTAGGGCACAGCGACCTCACGCGGCGGCTTACGCGGGCCGCTCGCGCGGCACGCTGCACTGGAGACGAGGGCGCTTACGCGCGAGCTCGGGCGGGCAGCTCACGCGCCAGCGTCGGCGCCGAAGACCCCTTTTTTCTGCGTCGCCCTCGCCCATTCGGCGCCTCCCCCCCCTCAGCACGCGAGGCCCGATGATCAGGCCACTCGAGTGGTCCGGGGGTGGTCTCGGCATCCCAGCCCTGGGGCGCGGAGCGCCCCGGGGGCGCGCGGCCGGAGGCGGCGCCAGGGTGCTGAGGCCACCCCGGGACTGCTCGGGGGGCCTGTGAAGGCCGGCCAAGACTGCCTCGGGACTCGGCCGCCCCGATGCGCAGCACGCAGCCCGCAGCGTGTTGACGCGGAGCTCAACACGTAGACCGAAAACAATCCGCGCGGCGCGACACTCTCGCCAAAACATGGACCACGTGCCGAGACGACACGCAGCGTGTCAGCACGGACGCTTTGAAATGCGGTGCGTGTTGCGTCTCCAGCCGTGCGGGCTAGGGCAGCGAAGGCTCGGGGGGGGCTGTCTGTGCGCAGCCCGAGGCCTCACCACTGCCTCCTCCGAGGTCCTCCTCCTCCTCCGCCCTCCTCCTCCTCCTCCTCCTCCTCCTCCTCCTCCTCCTCCGCCCTCCTCCTCCTCCTCCTCCTCCTCCTCCTCCTCCTCCTCCTCCTCCTCGTCCGCCTTCCTCCTCCTCCTCCTCCGAGGTCCTCCTCCTCCTCCGCCTTCCTCTTCGGCCTGGCCGCCGCCTTGGCCTCCGGGCACGGCTCCAGCCGCGCCGTGCCCCTGCAGCACGCGAAGCCCCAGCGGCGCGCCTCCGGGTCGAAGAAGGATCCCCAGACGGCGGCGTGGCCACCGACGAGGACGTCCTCCCGGTGGAGGCTGGACGACACGAGGCTTCGCTCGGCCACGGGGGCCGCCGCCTCCATGGGAACTGCTCAGCCGCGCAGCTGCATCGGCCCCGAGTTAAGCAGTGGAAGGACTATTCGACGCGGAGAGTGCCAATCTTACCTGCCCGGATGCGCACGTTTTGACACGCAACACGTACTGTAACAAAAAGGCTGTGTTAGCACGACGCGTGTTGGCTCGGCACGTGTTGCTCCACGTTTTGGCGAACGCATCGCGCCAGACCTACGTGTTCAGTTTCCGTGTTGAGTTCTGTGCCAGCACGCTACGTGTTGCGTGTTGCGTATCGGGGCAGCTGACATCCCCATTATGTGCATCTCAGTTCCCGGCAGTTCCGTCTGTGAGCGTCCGAATGCGAGAATATGAGCCTGTGGCGACTGAGCGCTCTCTGGCGGCTCCCCCTTGGAGCGCCCCAGGCCTACGCCTGCTACATGGGGCTGATCTTGGGACTCTGCAGAAAGAGATGGGTCGGGGGTGCCTAAGGAAGCGTTTCCCCTGAGAGGTCCCACTATCTGCGCGCGAGCTTGCAAGTGTACCACCCTCTGGCGACTCCCCCTGGGAGTGCACACGTATTACGCTAACCTGTACGATCACCCTTCGGATGATAATGAGGCTGGGGGGTGGGGGGGAAGAACCAGCTGCTGGCAAATGCGATGGGTGTGATGATGACGATGCTGGTGACGCGCCCTCGAATTAGCGACGACGCGTGATGACGATGTTACGCTTCGATGTAATGTCACAACCAATGTCACAATCAACCTCACTGTCGATCTCACTTTAGATCTCACTATCCATCCCGTTCGAATGATCTCATTATCGATCTCACGATTGACTTCACTTCACCATCGATACCAAGGCAAAACACCCCCAGCCACCGCCCGCCCACCGCCCACGGAACATCGACGGGACGCCAACGGGACACCGCAGGACACCACGGCGGGACACCCCGGTCCACCGCGCGCCTACTGGTGGCTGAAGACGGTCCACTGCATCCGAACTGCCCTAGCGACGGCGGGGCCATTCCTCTCGCGGGCCCACGCAACTTCGCCTCGCCCGCACGCACGACACGAACAGGAAACCGAAACCGATTTCCTGGTGGAGGGGCTCTCCGCTCCACCGCGATCTCACCCCCCAACCTCCGCCTGCATCACGGTGATCATCGGGCTCCGAACCGATAGGAGTCGGGGGTGCCCAAACCAGCCAACCGCTCGAGGCATCCCTCCAAGCGAGGTGCGAGAGGCAAGTGCAACACCTCCCGGTGGCTCCTCCTTGGCGTGCCCAGGTGCTGCGCACGCTGTGCCGAGGTGGGCTCTCAAAAGCTTGGGGGGCGGGGGGCGCCAGACGAGCGCACCGCTCGAGACCTCCCCGCCTGCCACACAAAGCTGCGCGCGACTGGGCAAGTGCCCCCCCCCTTCCCTGGCGGTTCCCTCCCTGGGATGCATCATGAAGCTCTCGAACGAAGAGGAATCTGAGCCACCAAACGAGCAGACCGCCGGAGCACATTGGGCGCGAAGGGGCACAGGCCCCCCTCTCTGGCTGCCCCCCCCTTGGGGTGCGCAAGTGCCACGCCTGCTGTCGCGGTGGCCATGGGGCTCTCAAGAGAGCGGCGCCCCAGCCACCAACCGGAGAACACGCCCGAGATATCGCCACGATCTGGGCGCGAACGGGCCCCCCTCTCGCCTTCTCTGGCGGCCTCTCCTCGGGATGCCCAAAATGCCACGCCTGCTGTGCCGCAGTGGCCATGGGGCTCTGAAGAAATAGGGCCCTGGCCCACCAGACGAGCAAGCCGCCCGAGACATCCCCGCGCTCTGAGCGCGAACGGGCAGGTGCCCCCCTCCCTCTCTGGCTGCTCCTTCCCCGGGGCGCCCAAGTGCCATGCCCGCCACATCTCGGTGATCCTGAGTGAGCCTGGGGCTGAGGAGCGAGTACGCGTGGATCTGAGCATGATCGGCAAAGCGTGCGTAGGTCTGAGTGTGAGTACATTATGCGTGAGGTTGCGTGTGAACGATCAACTGCAAATGGTATGCGTGTATGAATATGGGCACGAGTTGGCTGAATATGAACGGATCGAAATGGAAATGGTATGTGTTTGAATGAGTGTGAGTATGAACGACTCTGAGTATCGGTGGATCTGAGTGTGAGTGAGTCTGAATGTGATGGAGGGGAAGAAGCGGGAGGAGGGGAGGGGAAGTGAGGCGGAGGCGTCACGTTAACAACAAGAACTCCATGCTTCGGATATGGGGCACAACGGCACACACACACACACACACACACACACGCGTAAACTGTTGGATCTCCGCGCGCCAGGAAGGGGGATCCAACGCCGATCCAACAAACCCGCGTGGACCTCCAAAAGGCTACGTGTATGCCCATGTGTTCTTCGAGTAAGCAGGGCTAGCGAGATGAGGCATGTTGGCGGGCAGGCGCGGCGGACCATGGCACAGCTGAACGTTCAGCACTCATGCCACGGGCTTGAGCAGAAGAATGGCGAGGGCAAGCCAGTGGGCAACGGTCGGTCGCGTCGTCGTAGACGACCATGGAAACTCGGCCACCCAGCAGTCTCTTAGCAGCTTCATCGCGACTGCCTCTCGACCGCGCAACATCTAGTTCACCGATGCATCCCAGCCGACACATCAGCCCGAAGGTGACAATCACGCAACTGGAACACACCTTCTGCCGTGCTCATTCTCCTTGTGCTGCTCATCCTCCTCACACTCCTCCTTAAACTCCTCCCCCTCCTCTTGCAACTCCTGCACCTCCCCCCTCCCTCTACATCCTTACCCTCATCATACTCATCATTACCATCATCAACATGGCCATTGCGATCGTGGATGAGGCTTCCCCGTGCCTCGTACCAATAACCTGGCTGCCATAGCCGTCATCATACTCAACATCACCATCATCACGTTCATCGGCATCGCCACCCTCCCACCTTAAGAGGGCGCGCCGCTGATTGACCCAGAGGCCCGCCCCCCCCCCCCCCCCCGCAGAACTATCCCGGACCACCCTACACCTTCCCCCCAATGGGGGGCCTAGTTGAGAACCCTGGCACCCTCCCCATATGAGGAGGGCCGCCAGCCCTGATTTCTCGAATCACCCAAACACTAACACCCTGACCCTACAGCCCTACCCCGAATACCTAACCATCACACGCTGACCCCTGGCACCCTCACCCCCAACACCCTCACATTCTATCAATACCACCCTAACCCTAACACCCTGAAACCAATACTGTAACCCTGACACCCTAACCCGAAAACACTACCGCCCTAACCCTCGCACCCTGACCGTTACCCTGAACCTACAACTCAAGCCCTAACACCACAACACCTGACCCTAACACTCGAACCCTAACACACTGACCCTTAACCCTAAATGCGCTAACCCTGCCAACCTGCCCCTCACCCCCTGCCCTAAACGTAGCCCTTCAACCCAAATAGCAACCCCTATGTGCATGTATGCATGCATGTATGTGTATATAGATGCACACGTATATATATATATATATAAATACATATGTGTATTTATGACGAGTTCCGAAATCCCGGACTAAACCTTGCCGTCTTTTGGGAGGCCAATTTCTCCTTCCGCCGGCGTCCGCCGACCCTCCGCCAGCCTCCGCCGGCGGAGGCGCCCACCTCCGCCGCCTTCCGCCGACGTTCCACTGCCGTCCGCCGAGGAAGAGGTGAAAACTCCTTCGGTCCTCGAGGACGAGGCCCTGTCTGGAACGCCTCATACATATATACACATACATACATACATAAATACATACATACATACATACATACATACATGCATGCATGCATGCATACATACATACATACATACATACATACATACATATATACATGCAGACATACATACATACATACATACATACATACATACATACATACCCACATGCATACATACATACATACATACATACAGACACACTTACATACATACATACATACATGCATGCATACATACATACATACATACATGCATACATACAACTATACAGACATACATGCATATATACATACATACATGCATGCATACATACATACATGCATGCATACATGCATACATACACATATACATATATATATATATATATGTATATGAAAGACAGCATTGGCGCTTCGCGCCGTGCACCTTGGGCCTTTGAGTTTCGCGCGCAGGCGGCTTGCGTGCGCGTGTACATTCGCGCATGAATATACGCATGCATGTGTACACGCGCGCATGCATGCAAGTTGTACACGTACCTACACATATCAATATATCAATGTATACAAGTATGTAGATATGTGAATATGTATACGGTGTTAGTTGTGAATTATTGTGTACATGTTGCTGTAAACACAACGTCGAACTATGGGTACACATTCCCATATATCATGTCTACTGGTACATGGCAACGTGTGCACACGCATGTTCTTATATACACATGCAGTTGCACGCTCCTGCGAACGCGGGGAATTACGATAAGGTCGCCAACCCAACGGGCCGGAGGCGTGCTAAAAGCTCCAGTGACAGGCTGAAACAGTTCCTAGTTCGCGCGCGCGTGGCGGCCCCTGGGGGGTGCGGGCACTGCTGCTCACGGATGCCAGAACTCCCGGGGCAAGACTTCAAAGCTCTAGGGATCGTCCCAGAGGGCCCCGAGAGGCCCCCCCAATACGGCCCAAGAGGGGCCCGAGGCGCCCGAGGATCGATCCAAGACGCCCGAGATGGCCTCCAGACAGCCCCAAGGGCCCCCAAGACGCCCCCAGGAAACCTCCAAGAGCACTGCACTCCCAGAGAGGGGCCCCAGACGCAAGCAGCAGGGGCCTCTTGGGGCGTCGCGGGGGCGCAGAGGGAGCCCCCTGGGAAGAGCTTCGGGCGATCTTTGGGGCGGCAGGCTCGACACGTGAGCTTGTGAGGCGGGAGGAGGGGGGGGGGGGAGGAGGAGGAGGAGGAGGAGGAGGAGGAGGTGGAGGAGGAGGAGGAGGAGGCGGAGGAGGCGGAGAGGAGGAGACGAGAGATGAGGAGGGAAAGGAGTATTCTTGAAGCTGTCTTTGGCCCGTTTTGGCCACGTTTGGGGCCGTTTTGGTGTTCTCTGGGGCCGTCTAAGGGCTAAGGGCCCTGGGGGTCGTTTCGGGAGCCTTTTGGGGGCTCCATGGACCGTCTTGACGCCCGCGTGGGTCGTTTTGAACCACTCTTGGGGCGGTTTCTGGCATTCCTTGGGCCGTCTTGGATCGTGGCAGCGCGAGAAGGTGAGGACGCCGAAACCTTTCAAAAACCTAAAGGACATTTACGATTTCAAACTATGTGGGCTCATTCTGGAGGCCTCGTGGACGTGTGTCGGTGCGTTGTAGACGCCTCTTGGGCGTCTTGGTGTGCCTTGGAGCTGTCAACGAGCTATGTTGGGCAATATTGGAAGCCTCTTTGGACCCTCCGAGAAGGCCGGAAGGCCGAAGGAACCCCTTTGCAAGGGAGTCCGAGCAGCCTGGGGGTGCTTCCGAGCAGCCCTGGGAATCCGAAATTCGTTCGGGGAGGGAGGGCCTTGTCAGGGGTCTCCAGCCTTATAAAAATATACGTAACACCCCGCAGTCGCGGACAAGAGTGAGGGGGCGGCGGGGACGCCTGCAGTCTGCGAGGCTCTGAAGAAACCCGCCGCACGCGCTTAACTTTTACAGATTATAAAACGAACCCGCCGCAGGCGCAGACTTTTTGTTCAAGCAATGTGGGTGGGTCGCGGAGTGGGTCGCGAGTGGGTCGCGAGCGGGTCGCGGGGTGGGTCGCGGGGTGGGTCGCGGGTGGGTCGCGGGTGGGTCGCGGGCGGGTCGCGGGGTGGGTCGCGGGTGGGTCGCGGGTCGGCTCGCGTGGGGGGGCGACGCTAAGCAACAACAAACAAACAAACAAACGAACAAACAAAACAACCAAACAAACAGGCAATCAAGCAAGCAATCAAACAAACAACAGCAACAGCAACCACAACAACGCCACCAACAACAACAGCAAGAGCACCAACAACAACATCATCAACAACCGCAACACCACCAACAACACCAATCTTATCAACAACAGTCATTTTAAGACTGTTCGCCCTTAGCTGCTCGAGTGTCCAATAACGCGTGTTTCCCACACCCTGGATACCCACCCTCTTCGTCTTCGACCGAACCCCTTTTGGGGGGTATACCTTTCTTCCCTGCAGGCCGGGCCCCGGCAAGCTGCGGGGCGGTCACGGACCGTCGGGCTGGCCAGCGGCAGCGCTGATCGGCGGGGCGGCCGCGGACCGTCGACCCGACCCCAAGAGGGACGGACAGGGGACCGACTACGACGACGACGACGACGTCGACAACGACGGCGACGACGACGACGACGACGACGGCGACGACGAGCGAAAGCGAGAGCGAGAATGAACGACAGCAGGGCCACAAGGACACGAAGTAGGCCACGAAGGGCGACAGCGGGGACACGAAGGGAATGCGCATGGTGCCACGAAGAGCGCGAACGAGCGGGGGCCACGAAGGGCAGATAGTGCGGGGCCACAGAAGGCATCGATGGGGCCACTGAGGGTAGCAACTGGGCCACGTAGGACAGTGAGGGGGCCACAAACGGCGACAGCAGGGCCACGAAGGGCATGCACATGGGGCCACAACGGGCGCGAACGAGCGGTGGCCACGAAGGGCATACGTATACTGGGCCGCGGAGGGCAAGGACGGGGCCACTGAGGGCAGCAACGAGGCCACGAAGGGCAGCGAGGGGACCACGAAGGGCGACAGCGGGGCCACGAAGGGCATGCATATGGGGCCACCACGGGCGCGAACGAGCGGGGACCACGAAGGGCATACATATATGGGGCCACGAAGGGCAGCGAGGGGGCCACGAATGGATGCAACTGGGCCACGTAGGGCAGCGAGGGGGCCACGAAGGGCTGCAACGGGGCCACGAAGGGCTGCGACGGGGCCGCGAAGGGCAGCGAGGGGGCCACGAAAGGGCTGCAACGGGGCCACGAAACAAAGCGAGGGGGCCACGAAGGGCTGCAACGGGGCCACGAAGGGCAGCGAGAAGGCCACGAGGGGCTGCAACGGTGCCACGAAGGGCAGCGAGGGGGCCACGAAGGGCTGCAACGGGGCCACGAAACAAAGCGAGGGGGCCACGAAGGGCTGCAACGGGGCCACGAAGGGCAGCGAGATCCCGATTCCTAGGTAATCTGTGAGGGACTTCTAAGCGTAAGCGCGACTCCTGGATGCCTGGGTGTCGGGAGCGCGGGCGTCGAGGTAGGGAGGTGTCGAGGGGGGTGTCGACATGGTTGCGGGGGACGCATGTGGACGGTGGCACTGGGGCCTTCGGTGGAGCTTCCTATGGGGCCACGAAACGTCAGAAGGGGGTGCTGAAACTGGTGCGGGGGACGCAAGCGGGCGTTGGCGCTGGAGCCTTCGGTGGAGCTCCCTATGGGGCCACGAAAAGTGTGAGGGGTGTGCCGGAATGGGCGTAGGGGACGCATGTGG